CTTATCAGGGTACTGATAAGATACTGATCGTCTCATAACACCTGTAGACCTGAGATCAGTTACAAGTGACACTATGTGATGGCGGATTCTTCCATTTCAGCTATCAATAAGATAATCAGGTCTATACCCAATAACATTTTACTGTCACCCAATGAAGTACTAAATTCATTGTGATGCAGTATTTCACTTGATCCCCTGTGGTATTGAACTTTGGACTTGTGATTGCGACCTGGGAGCATTACCACTGTGCTATTGATTCACAGGTCTGATAGAAGATTGATATATAATTGAAACAAGTATAAAATATATATATATGGTTCCTTACCTTAATACAAAAAAATTAACTAGAAGAGCTTAATTACTAAAAATTCTAAGTCTCAAAGAAGCATTGAAAGAAATGATATATAGACAATATGTTGTAATCAAGTAACTATCTAGAATAAAAGAATACTACAGATTAAAGTAGAGGATTGTGAAGTAAACATCATCAAAGATCATATTAAAGAAGGTGCCTACCAATTTTATCTGATTGAAATACTTAAACATAATAAGAAAAAAACCAATGATATTTTACTCTAATGGATTTCTTATAAATTATAAAAGTACAAACATGAAAATATGGATATAGATAGAAGAGGTAGAAAAAGGAATCAAGTTCCAAACTAAAGTAGATAATTGGTTTTCATTCATTGGAGCAAAATTAATAGTGATAATAACTATATTACTAGTAGCTTCAGTAAACAACAAAATCAAAATCTTTATAGATAGTTATACCTGCATCTCAAAATAAAAAACTATAGAAAATAAGAACAAAGAATGACCTATAAAAGATAATTAAAAGAACAAAACTAATCCTTGTAAACATATACTGTATATTAGATCTTGTAAAGAAAAAGAAACAGAATTTCAAGCTTATCAAAATTAAGGCATATTTTAACATTCAGTATAACAAAAAATCTAATATTCTTGTTAAAGAAGTACTTAAGTTTTCAGTAATAAAATGAAAAAACTAAGTCTCATCCAAGATTATCACAAAAATTAAATGTCAAGATATAGTGTTAGATATCTTTATAAGACAAGCTATTAAAAAAACAAATAATAAATTAACAGACTATCAATAAATAATTCAAGGTAGAACTGGAAAGAGATATGATTAGAAAATCCAAAACCAATATAGATACACATAGGATCTAGTATAGGAACAATTTAAGAATAGATATATATAAAACATCTCCTTTAAGATCTTACAAAACAAAAGCTTTCTTATTAAATTGATCAATGATGAGTTATCAATATTACTAAGCTGGCTCTAAAAAGATCAAATTTGCATAAGTAAGTAAAATATATTATGTGTAGTCAGGAAAAAAAAACAATAGAACACTTGTAAAAATGTTCAATTTACAAGACTAAATAGAGTGAGGCATAATAAAAAAGAATGGAAGGATTTATCAAAGGATTTAAAAAGTTCTCAAAAGAAAGGAAAAAGGAATCAAAAAAGAAAGAGTTAAACTTAATGATAGATAATAGGATAAAAATGAAGAAATTGATGAACAAATAGTAAAACTGGTGAAAAGGATTTCAGAAACCAGTCAAAATATATTTATCTTCTGTATGGGACTAATAGAGAAGATTTAATTATAAGAATAGTTGATCTGAAGTGTTACAATAAGAGAATTGAAAAAGAGATAAGAAGATAGATAATAAAAATGCAAAAGAAAGTATATAACTACTTCCGAAAGAAAATATAAAATATAATATATGAAAAAGGGATCGAGTAAAAACAGATATCAGAAATCCATAAATATGACAATATAAAAAAACCAGTATATCTATAAAACTAGGAAAGAGAGAACAAGAGTACAGAAAGTTAATCTAATAAGAAGTTGATATATAAAGAAAAAAAAATCAAAGATAAGAAGTTAAAAGAAATCTTATTAAATAATGTAAAATATGGTATGAAGTGATTAGAATTTTGATCTTTGTTAGAGCTTAAAAGTATAATTTGCAGTAGTGACCTGTAGGCAATGATGTTAGAAGTTGAAAGGGTCTTCACTTGAATTTCTAATAGAGTAAAAAATTACTCTTGAAGTTGCATTTAAAGAGATAATATAATTAAAATAAGTAAGTTAGTTAGAGAATTAGCTTTAGTATTTTATTTAATATGCATAACCTATTGATATGGGTCACGTGAGTGATGTGATTTATATATAATGGTCTAAAATCCAAAACCTGAAAGTCAGACATGAAAGAATGAGTATCGCAAAATAAAAAACTATGGATTGAGACTTGAATATTGATAAGGGAATTATGTGTGTCTAACAAAGTATGAAAAGTTTAGTAAAGTCTAGAGTTAGCATAGCTGATTAAAGTAGATAGTTCATTGTTAGTTAGAAAAGTATAATTAGCTTACAAATGTATGCTGAGAAGGCAGTACTGAATATGTTAGAAAACAGTCTTCATTGTGAATAGAAATAAAAGTTGATAATATACAAAAGAAACAAAATGTGAATAAAGATATATTTACCTTCGGTCAAGTTAATCACCACACCTCTGTCTTCCCTAAGTGTTCTTTATAGAAGTTATTCTTTTTTTAATATCAGTTGTAAGTATTTGTGAGTCATCTGAATTATGTGAGGTACTACAGATTAGTAATAGACTCACTAGGTTAGCCCATGATACTATAAATATTTAATAAAGTATATATAACTGACTTGACAGAGGAAAAAAAAATTAAATATAAATTACTTTATAGTCAACCCATTTATTATTATTTTAACTTATAATATTTTATTTTTTTAATACAAATAAATTGTTTATATATTAAACCTGTAGATCTATAATACTGTAATAGTATTCCTAAGTCACAATTATAAGGTCCAGAGTTCAATACTACCTAAGAACCAAGTGAGAAAAAAATAATCAGATTGTATAAGGATGGGATTTCTGATTTCCCTATTGATTATTGGATTGAAATAGATCTATTATAAGGATTACATGAAAAAAGGTCTCTGGTCTAGTTACATAATTTATATCCACACATCTCCTGAATTGGACAGGAAAATAAATCCCTAGATCTTACTTTTAGAACTGTGATAATTGTCTAATAATTTCTAACCAAAAATTATATCAGCAGACTCTGGGACCTAACCATTCTAGCTTGAAATATCCCAATTTGGTACTTATTTAAATAAAGGATTTATTAAATAGAGTTTATTTATAATATTACAGGTGGTGATAAAGAAGAAAGAAATTCTTTTTGAGGTTAAAGTAAAAAGTATCAGGATATCTAAGTGATTAAAAATAACTCTTGCAGATTCAATCTAGTATATAAATTAATATACTATAAATATATAAGAGACCTATAGTAAACAAATATGCTAACTATATTAACAGTACCATTTATAACTATTATCAATTACTGGCCTCTAATTGAGTCTGCCCTATTTTTGGAGTAATATGCAGATTTAACTAGGACAAGTTACAATAGGTTATTATTAATCTGTATATATATAGAAATATATAATTTGTATAGGATAATTGATGTCATATCAAAGGATCTGGATTCAAGTTTAAGTTTAGTTTTAATAAAAGACTTATATCTAATACCAGTTGTGGTTAACAAAAAAAAATTATTTATATATTCTCTATAATAATAACTTATAAACAATGATTTTATTGACTAGAAGATTTATTCAAATCAGTAAAGAAGTGAAATATTATTTTCTAAGTTGCATCTAGAGAAATAGTTTTTTGATAATGGATGAGTTAATATATGAAAGTCAAATATTTTGTAAATATTTTTTATATATACAATAAAAATAAGCATATTGACCTGACTACAGGCTAAAAAAAAAATTGTTTATATATTCTTCTTTCTTATTAGAAAGTATGCTAATAATTGATAATTGATTATTTTATATAAGTTTTTTATCATGGCACAATTATTTATTATATAATTATAATAAAAATTTTGAACTTAGTTTGACTTTATTAATTTTTTTAAAATAAAAACCAATAAAAAAAACTATATTTCTATAAAAAATATATAAATTTAACAAGAGTTTTTTTTTATAATTATAAATTATTTATTTTAATTTTAAAAATTTTTAATATAATTATATAATTATATATATATATATATATATACTGTATATATACTGTATATTGATTTAATAATTAATTTTTATAAAATAAATACTTGTAATAAAAAATAAAAATAAGCTTAAATAATAAAGATTATAAAAATTATTATATTAATATTTAAAAAAACAAACTTTTAAAGTTATATTTGAAATTATTTGATAATTTTATAATTTTTTTAAATATTTTTAAAGTTTCAATTATAAAATAATAAATATTTCAATTTATGATGATTATATACGCAAAAAATTAATATCGTGCTTCTTGAAATCAAATAGATATCCAGTCTAACGGAATGCAAAACCCGGGGGCTACAAATTTTACTAAAAATTTTATCATCAAGGCATTAATACACAAAAATAAGGGTATTGGACCAATATGGAAGTTCGCATTTCAGTTTGTTTTTTTATGACCTGAGCGCCCACAGCGACGATCGAGTAGTTCACCCCATCGTTGAAAATTAATCGTGCAACAGATAACCGGTTAAATTAATCGTGCAAGTTTTAAACAGTTAATTTTGTCGTTGACTTAAACGGATAGTGTGACAGTGTGACCCTATGCAAATATTTTTTCTATTATTTTAATTTAAAAAGGTATTAATTGTCACTACGATTATTAATCGTCGAGCGATTAGCGCACCTTCCAAAAAAGTTTTTGCAATCCGTAAATGGAAAAATAAATGTTTACCTTCACGAATACACGAAAATTTTCTAGGAATTGCACATTCGGAATTTAATATAAAGAGATCAAATTGGTTCCATTTATCATCATAACTTTCAAATAATTTGTTCAATTAATTTCTGATAAGAAAAAAAATCCCCTTGATTTATAATACGCCTAATTCTTTATATCTTTTTATCATGTCTGGTAGTTATGACCTTCAATCGAATTATAGACCTTCGTTTCCTCCTTTAATAACCGCAAATGACATAGTCAACATACATATGGAGAAGGGTCTCGATAATGCGAATAAAACACTAAATGCTTTTCTTATTTATAGAGTGGCATATAGCCGTGAAATCGCAGGACAAAGTGTTGGAAATATTTCTAAAATGGCTAGTAATTCGTGGAAAAAAGAAACAGATCACGTTAAAGACTTTTACAAGAAAATGGCAAGCGAAGTTAAAGCTATTTTTAAAAGGAAGGCCCCTGTTTGTTTTGTTAAATTCCAAGATTTACCGGTTGTCTCCTCTCAATATCCTCCGTCAAGTACGGACACATTCGACGAGAGGTTTCTGTTGGATGTGCCCGAAGAAATATTCATAAAGTTAATTCCCGACAGTCTGGTTCCGGTTTATATGGATATTGGTAATCTTGTAGATCAAACCATTGGCGGGTAATCTGTTACAAAGACAAAACCTCTTGACAATTTCCGATGTAAAAAAAATAATTTGCCATGTTCGTTACCCAAACAACTAGAGCAGAATTTATATTGTTATTGGTATACTTTTCGTTCTTCTATGAATGAAATACTATGTATCAGGATTAAATGTAATATAGAAAACACATCGCTATGAATATATTAAATTTCATATTTGAGCAACTATTTTCGAAGGCGGCCAGTGATTTTTCTAATTTCGTAATCGCAAAAATTCGCATAAAATATTTTTATCTCTTTCAAAAATAATTATTCATTTGAAAAAAAATTTTAAAGAAACTTATGATACTTTAAGTTTGACTATAAATAAAAAATTTTTTCTCTACTATAAATAGATTTAATATATTACTAAGATAATATACTGTATTTTAAAAAAAAATTCTTTTCACTAATTCTCTAATCACATACAAAAAAGATGTTCACAAGAAGTTTTTTTACTTCTTTATTAATAAAGTCTTAATACTTTCATTAAAACAACTTGAAATATAACTTCAAGAATTGTTTTTATCCTTCTCTTCTTATTTATAAATCACTACACTTACTTTTGATGATCAAGAAAAATCAAATAACATTTTTGATACAAATAGAAAGAAAGTTTTCAAAAGAAGAAGAACTGATTATAAAGTATCTAAAAGTTTTTTTAACCTTTGAAACAAGAAATTATAAAGGTTTTGTTATAGTAGAAAGGTTTGTTTTTTTCCTTTCTAACTATTTTAATCCTCTTAAAGCTTTCACTTTTATGATTTTCTAATGGATTTTACTTATTTCAATTTAATTTTGAATTTTAAATAGTACAAATTCTTATTAACAATAATTAATCAATATAGAATATAATAGTTTATAAAATATAAACAAGTTTCTATTGACTATATTTATATACAGTATTTCACAACTCTTTTTACTGATCCTTTGATTACACATAAAAAAAAATGTTCACAAGACATTACTGTACTTTTTGACTAATAAAGTCTTATCCCTTTCCTTAATTCAATTTAAAAGTACTTCAAAAGTTATTTACACTTTCTCTTTATAGTATTAATATTTTTCTTTAACCAAAAACCGAACTTCTATGATTAAAAGTTTAAAAAATATCTTTCCTATCAATGACAAGAAAGTTTTGAAAGGAAAAAAAACTGATGTTTTACTATCTATCTGACATATAGAAAACAATACAGAATTTTTCCATAATATGAGAGTTAACTTTCCACTCTCTTTATCATTATGTGAACTTTAATAGTACTTTTTTTCAGTTTTTTCTAAGAAATTTTGCCTACCTCAGCTTGACCCTAAATTTTAAATAGTATAAAGTTGTTTATAAGCTAATTAATTGAGTAGGATCATATTAATAAAAGAATATAAACAAACTTCTATTGGTTACATGCATATTTGAATATCTTTTTTCAGCTCCATAAGAATCTGAGATCTATTTTATGGAATGAAGTGGTTGGGTTTTAAGCTTAGTCAGAACAACGGATAGTGATCTGCAGTGGTGATCTGTGGACAATGATGTTAAAGATTGGAAGGGTATTCATCTGAACCATTAACGGAGCGATAAATCACTTCCAAGTTGTACTTAGAGTTTTGATATATAAAATAAAACAGTGACGAGTAAGTTAGGTAAAGTCTTAGCTTTAGTGAATCATTTAAAATGTATAGTATACAAATATTTAATAAAGCACACATATCTAGCCTGACCTAGGGTAAAAAAAAAAAAAGAAAAAAAAAAAGAATCTGAGGTCTATTATAAGTCATATTTTTGGTATAGATGTATATAAGACTTGTCACTAATAAATTATTGAATATAAGAAAAAGTTTATCTGATCATTGAAAGATCATAAAATATTTAATTAATCTTTTAAAAATCTAATCTGCCTGCTCTTAATTGTATATCAAATAGATTTCAGCTTTTACTATTTAGAAAAGTCTAACTAAAGAAAGCAAGAAATGATCAAAAATACTTAATGATAAAGCTTATATATATAATAAATCAGAAAGTTTTTATTTTATTTTTAAAAAATCCCAAATTGGAAGACTAGAAGAATAATACTACTACATCAATTGAAACTTGAGTAAAAAATATTAGCAGTGATATCTAAGCCAGCTGAATAATTTAAAAGATCCTTATTAATTGCTAATATCAACAACCACTAGTAGGATATGCCAACTGCAAAGCTAGATACAGTCCTTTTTTAAGAAATTAAATCTGAAATATATTGAACAGATAGATAAGTATATCTATATTTAAATAAGAATAGATTTAATTATAATATACTAGAAGACTCTCAAGTCACTTATATAAATATCAATATATTACCTGGATATTTATGAATATTTCCTTCTCACAAGTCTCAAAATTGTAAAGTCTAATTTATTATTTCTATCTTATCTTTATAAAGACTTAGTGAAAGCTTCCTACAAACTAGTGCTCATAATTTTGATCCAAATCTGATTGATTCATAAATCAGATATAAATCAAATTGAATTAAATTTCAAAATTTTAATCCAATCAGATTCAGATCGAATTGAATTTTAAATTTACAAAATTACTAGATTCAAATCGGATTCAAATCAAATTCAATAGAATTCAAATTAGATATGTAGTCTATATAAATTGTTATATAATTATTTAATTTTATTTAAATTGAACTATCTAGAAAATTAAAATGGAAGATTTTTTTTTAAAAATAATATAAAAGACAAGTTGGAAAAGAGAAGTTAGCCTAATATACTTTATTTCTCAAAGATCTAAGACTTAACAATAAACTATAACATTTAGCCACTTTCTCAAAGATTATTTTATCAATCAAAAGAAGTATAGATAGTATAATATTATTTTAGCTCTACTTTACTTTATTTTATAAGAAAAAGAAAACATATCTATAAGCTGATTTACAGTAAGCTTAAAAGAGCCCAATATCACCTTTCTAAGCTTATAGCTAGGCTAGTATCAGTTTACACTTTTCTAGGTACTAGAAAGAACTTCATCAACAATAGTTCTTATTAATAAATTAGAAAAAACTCAAAGTTCATAAAGCTCAGGACATCAAAGGCTCCCAAGGACTAAACAGAAGAGTATCCTGATTCTATACACATTTGTTTAAACAACAAAACAAGTTACATGAACATATACATATCAAATAAGTTAATATCAAAACAACACACAAAAAACTCTTTCTGCAAAAATCTTCAATCGAAAAAAAATTTTCTTATAAGGTAATAAAACAAAATTTTAACTAGAAACAAAGCCAAAGCGACTGAGGCTTCTCCCAGGAGCCCCTCCAAGTCACAAGACAAGTTCTCAATATTAGACATTGTGCTCTCAAATACCTCAATATCAAAAGTTTTAATAGTATATAAACAAAACAAAACTTTGAAAGTATTTTTAACAAAGCAGCTAATGAAACTACCATTTTACTTCTCCTAAACTATCTTGAATCATGGCTCATTCCCACCTGCAACACCAACTCTGGTGATCTCAAAGTCATCCAAATCAATTTTCTCAAGAAACAAACAAGAGTATCTTCTCCCTCTCTCCAAGTTTCCACCCAGAAAATGAAACACCTCGATATTGAAATATTGAATGCCTTTATAAACCACCAAACAGGATTTCACCTTGAAAAAGATGACAGAGAGCTTGCTGTTATGGAAGTGGTCAAAAACACCCTAAACTACAAGCTCCACCGGCCTTGGAACCAAATCTCCATCTTCACTAATGACAACCTTGGCACTTTCTCTCTCAAAAAAAAGGAAATACCGGCCCCCCTTTAAATACTTCAGTAGCACAAGACGATCCTTCTTGTACAACAGAAAATTCCTAAGGAAACCTCCCCCCAATGTGAATCGACACACAAATCACCCCCACGGCACAGATTCCATAGACCAGCCAGATATGGAAATAGATGAGCATTACACAAATGATATAAGGAACCTCCCTGATGATGGGACCAATACCCAATCATAGGAAAACCTAGTAAACAGTAAAACAATTCAACAAGTCTTCAAGGATAACCTGCCTCCTACTGCTACTGGTGCATAATCACAAGAGGTCCAGCT